ACAACGATGTCTTACATAACGGGTACGGCGCACCAGCCGGAGATAATATAGGTCCGTACGAGGGAGGCTCGAGTTGCTCTGCATTCCAGTAGTCCCGAGAAATTCACGCCGTTTTTTGGAGTATTGTTGCAACTCGATTAGTACAAATACAGTTAGGTCAAGAATCTGAATGGCTAACTGATTTTGCGGAGTTATTCTGCAAAACTTCGTCTTAATATAAATTGTATATTTCGTTGAAGTAGGGGATTCCTCATTATTTAGGTCTGTTCAGCTCACGCTCGAAGTATATGTTTTGGGTCATTACCACTGTTGCAATTCTTTAACATTTTATTATTTACAAATAACAAGAGGCTGTGCATTAGTTTACAAATAATATGTACAACAACTGAGGGGAGGGAGGAAGGAATGCACCGCCCGTCTGATATGTATGTGTTTATGCGATCGTTGCTGCTGATCCACAAATATTCGTTTCATAGCTGATCTATTTCGATATTATAACGTAGCTGTTTGGCTGAGAACCACGAGTAGTAGTTATCGAATTCGATGATATCTGAAAAGGCCTATTTCTTCATGACAGACCTCTCCGAGCTGTCAATACAAATTGATAAATCGCTTCGTGATGATCGTCCATTAACATCCAGTGAATTAATGCAGGCGAGAGAAGAGAGAGACAGAAAAAAGGACGTGTTGGTTCTTTTTTTTAGCGCATAACCCTACATTTAACTTCTATGATCTATCAGGGTATTTATCTCCGATTCATACGAAGACGATATGAGCAATCGATGTGGGGATTCCATTTCACTAATGCTATTAAGATGCTCCTAGACGCTACGATGCCTGAGTCTTCGATCCTGGACTGCATATCTACATTTTTAGCAACCCCTCCGGTTGTCGATCCGCCACTTTAGACAGAATCGAAGAGCGCTCAGGATTCCGGAGAGGGTGTCAGGGTGGGGGACAAAATGCGGTGCAGTGTTAACATGCTCACAACAGCCAGAGTTAATGCTCCGTGGACTTTCGTTGCCACTCACATATCTGTAAGAAGCTTGCATCGAAATCTTGCTGGAAATCTACATTGCTAAAACACTACTACTTCCACTGAGTGGCTTGGGAAGGAGTAGTCGCCGCAGATGATTGGAAATGATATGTCGTGAGAAGGAAGGAGAGTGGGGGTGAGTTGACGAGGAGAGACTTACATCGTCCAGCGTTCTCGCACACGATGGAACCCGATATAGGTACTTGCGAACATTCGAGCCGAATGTATGGGAAAACGGTTTCCATTTGCATCAGATTGTTTGCCTTCAGCGTCTTGTCAAAGTGTATAGCAAAGCCGATGTCTTCTTCGGATGTCATATACTGCCAGCTGAAGCTTTCTTTCGATTACTTCAAATCGAAGGCACTGCTCCGCATTTGCATTCAAAAATTTGAAAAATCAGGCAACTAAGCTAAGGCAATTCCGAATCCAATCCTCTCCAGGAATTTCAATCCCACGAAAGCTTTCTTTGTTATTGTCATATTTTGAGAATGACGAGAATGCTTACCTAATTTTTGTATTTGCTTGAACTTTGATTTCGATCAAATGCTTTTCACCGGCATAAACGGTTGTTAGCTGGTCGTAATCAGGCATTGCATCGTTTGGATCTACATAGTACGTGCCTGGGACAGGTCCTAGTCCAAACCTAATTTTTGATGGGCACCTTGGATCACCGTTTTCGCACAGTTTACCACCCCAGTAGACGGGCCACGAGTCCAGCTCTACATACTGCTTCAGTGCTAGCTCCCATTCATCGATCGATGGCATCTCGATCAGTTCCTGTAAAACTTCAGACGAAAAATGAAAGAGATAAATAGCAACGCGCACCAGACTAGCCGGTGCGATCATGCGTTCTGTGCAGTTCAGTCCATCGGACGATTGCCTATCAATGATTTTCACCGCTTTGTACATTAGTCTATGCAAAAATAATTCAAACGTTGGAAGACGGTTAAAAATTTCACGTACCGCCGCATGAAAGCTGAATTCGAGACCTTGAAGGATGAATATCTTTCCGTGATTCCCGAGTTAATAGTTTACCCGCCAAAATTTCCACGAGGCCGTAGGTAATACGCAGGAGCGTGGGAACGCTGAATTTGAATAGGCAAGGTTGAGCGTGGACAGGGGGTCATTACCCTAAAATTTCAGCTTCCTGGAGCCCGTGGTTCCCGAGATAATAATTTGCCCGTAAAAAATTTCACTAGCCCGTAGATACTACTCGAGAGCGCGGGAACGCTGAATTTGAATGGGCAAGGTTGAGCTTGGGCAGGGGGTCATTACCCTGAAATTTCAGCCTCCTAGACTCCGTAGTTCCCGAGATATTAATTTACCCCTAAAAAACTTTCATGGAGCCACACGTGTTACCCGCGGGTACGGGGAAGCTTAATTTAAATTTGCGGGGTCACACATAGGTGGGGAACGTTTCCTTAAATTTTCAGCTTCCTAGCCTTTGTGGTTCCCAAGTTGAAAGTTGCGGACAAGTTGCTGCGGACACACACAGACAATCCCGTGATAATATGCACTTTGTACTGCTGTTACACAGCACAAAACGCATAAAAACGAGCTCATTGAAAACATAGATAATAACATAAACGGAGAAAATACGCGAGTACTGAATTTGATGGCACTATTTTTCTGCATTGCCTTTGTGGAAATGCGGTAAAACAGCACAGTAATGTTTTGATTTATCTCGACTTTTTCAAGGTGGATTTCTTGAATGCACCAAGAAAAAACACCAGAATTTAAGAACCCGATGGAGTGACATTTCCATGTTTCTTCCCCGCACTTTGCTGTCTCACAGCAGTGGCTTCTCAGAAAAAAAAAACACAAAATCATGAGTTAGTGATTTTATAAAATCCTCTGATTTTTATTTACTCTTTTTAATCGTTTTAATGATTTTTTTTTCACACTGCAACAAACGAACAAAGCTAGAAAACTTCCGTGAGATTTTTCCTTAAGATACATTATATCTGAACTGTTCGGGATGAGCGGAGCATGCGAGGAACTTGACGAATATATTAACCGAAAGTGAACAGCAGTCGTTGAATACGTCTCGACCCCTTTCGATCTTGGCTTGTATAACATCAGACATGTTCTATGGACTGGATGGCGGCCATTGCTTCTCACTCCCTGATATCTGATTTGCCATACACACTGGATTCTGCTAACCTTTACTGAGCCGT